ACATATTAGCCATTATTGCCGGAACACTTCTAGTGCAGTGGTTTTATACCACTTGCACATTCTAGGCATCATGGGGTTCGATCCTATTGTGACCCGTGGTGGCCCACTGTTGGTAAAATAAAAAAAAGGCAACAAAAAAAATTATATTAATGGGCTGGGCTTTGAACCAAGGGATATAAACATTTCTAAGACTCGAGTAGTCGAAAACACATTTCTGAGACTCGAAAAAAACTCTTGAAAATGACATGCATTTGGTAGGATAATCACTAAAATGCCACTGCTGAGAGAAGAGAGATGGTGACGGCCGGAGTTTGTGAACTCATCTGAAACTCAGAAAACCCTAAACAGATAAACCCCCCCGCCCCCAAACTCTCAACTCCATAGATCCTTCCAACAATGGCGTCTCATCTATTTTCCCGATACCGGATCCGGATCTCTCTCCTGAAAACCCTGAAACCCAATCATTACCCCTCCATCAGACCCATTTCCGGCACCACCTTCCTCTCTCAGGATCCTCAGCTCGCAACCGATCACGACCCGTCGAATCTTGAGGCAGGGTCCACGCCGCTTCCTCCGAATCCGGCGACGGGAAGTCCCCTTTACCAAGAGAACTGGCGGAGCCCGATCCCGTCATTCAGCCAGTCTCTCGTCCCTTTGGGATTTCTAAATCAGGCTCCTGCTGTTCGAATCCGAGCTCTCTCTGAAACGCTCGACATGAACTCGCTGCTCAATATGTTCGCCGATTGGACCGCCTCGCAGCGTTGGTCCGACATGAAGCAGCTTTTTGAGTTCTGGGTTCGATCGCTTGACAAGAATGGGAAGCCGAACAAGCCTGATGTCAACCTTTACAATCATTACCTTCGGGCTAACTTGATGATGGGGGCTACGGCTGGTGACATGCTTGATCTGGTTGCTCTAATGGACGATTTCTCTGTTGCACCCATCACAGCATCTTATAATCTAGTCTTGAAGGCTATGCACCAGGCAAGAGAGACTGAGGCCGCCCAGAAGCTGCTCGAACGGTTAGATCTACTGAGTTTGTTTACAGATTCCTTTTGTTTCATACATACACTTACTGTTAAATTGAGTCACATTTACTAGCTATTCTGTTATGTTTTCTAGTTTCAGTGGGG